TGGAAACAGCGTCAGCATGAATGCTTCAGTAAAGCCAATCGACAGCTGGTCAAGAGGAATCGGCCGTCGTCTTCTGGTGGAACCGACCTTCTAACCTCTTCACCCAACACTTCCACTCGAAATGGAAGTAAGCTCAATAATTCAACCTTACTCGACATGCTTGCAAATGAGTGAAGTTATCTTTCCGAACCGGAGGTGGGTTCGGTGCTAGCTGTTTCATCATACAAAGAAGTCTAGCGTAAGATTGTCTGATGCTGAATGATTTGTCTGATTTTGCTTTAGACAAACTTCTCGCCATAATATGGGTACAAATCGATGAAATATTTATTTCCTCTAAAAAAATGGTTAAAAGGGGTTGCTAAGTGCTTTTACCAGAAACCAAAGTAAGATTCATTTACACATCGTCCTGACAATTTGATGAGGCCAGTTTACGAATCACTCATACAGCAAACTTTTGATATGAAATCAAGCTCCAACGCCATTGCATCTTCGTAAGATTCTTCTATACTCACTCTTTGTTAATATCTGCGAAAAGTATGAAAGGCTTCACAATGCCAATCTTCTGTCCATGGGGGCATGCACAATTTATTTTTTGATTGCAATTCCCACCTTGTATGTGTTTTTCAAACTGGCACGATTGGACTCGAAACCGGCCTGTGGACATCAATCACAGCCCCTTGGCAAAGCGAAACGAGCAAGAGCTTTTTGCCGATTTACCCTTTTTTAAATAATGGAACTGTTTTCTGTGGGGTACACTCGATTTGCTATTACAACCGGCAAGCTTATTATATTCTTAGTGAGTAGGTTGCGAAACTCATGTTCCAATTCAAGCTCCACATTCGGTTTCGAAACTCACTCATTTGGTGGGCAGTTTCGCCTTTGAGCATAACGGAAAATGCAAGCTTGCCACATCAACCGTATTCCCATTTTAAGATATGGCATTGTGAAGTTTTCTCAATGATGCTTAATTCAACTATCATTCCTCATTCAAATGGCATAAATGAGGCGCTGTTGGGCTTCGATGAAGCTCCTGCG